CAGGCTGGGGCTGAGGCCCAGGAACTCTGAGCTCCCTGGGGCCCAGCCCTGACCCTGAAGTGGCCCCCGGGCCGTGGGTGCCCCCTGAATGGCTCCATCACCGTCTGAGGACGGAGATGACCAAAGTGGGCAGGTCCGAGCACGGGCTTCGGAACTGAGAGTCGGGCCTGGGGCCGCTGCACAGCCTGGGTCGCTGACCCTCCTGAGGCCTCAATAAGCCGCTGAGGCTGGAGCCCAGCACAGGCCCTGGCTCAGAGAAAGCCCCTGTGCGCCTGGGTCCCAGGGCCCCACATGCCCTGGGCGGTCCCCACCGTGACCCCAGCTCAGCACGGGGATGCCAGTGCCCTCAGGGAGGTGACATCACAGAGCACAGGTTCTTCGGCACGGGGGTCGGGGCTGCAGGAAGAGCTGGGCCATGGTCCGGCGGGGCCAGCAGGAGGAGAAATGTCCCATGGGTGGGGCAGGAGCCGGCGTAGCTGGGTGCTGTCCTCTGAAGAACCCCCCTTCCTCCTCGGCTCTCTTCAAACCCCAGCCACCTGGGCAGCTGCCAACGGGTGACACGGCCACGCCCAGGGTCACACAGCCGACCCTCCTTCCGGCACATCCACCCTGCTCACTCTCTGTCCCTGCCCACCTGTCCCCACCCCCAGGCACCTGCCTGGCTCTGGCCCCCAGAACCCTGCAGGGCCCAGCCGACTCCCCACCGCAGGGCTACCCGTCTCCCATCCCTGAGAACGAGAGCCTCCGACCTGGGAGGAGAGGTGAGCCCTGGATCTACTTTCTCCTCCGGGAAGTTCCCAGAACCTCAGAAGCACAAGTTGTGGGCTTTCCCATTGGGGAGATGGAGGAAGTGGGTGGGGCAGGGCAGAGGAGGGAACAGAGACTGGACCCTCACCCACGTAGGTCAGGTGGGAGGGGCACCTGGAAGACGCCTGGTGTTGGGAGGTGAGGGGTCCTCTTCCCATCCAGGGGCAGGGAGGGCAATCCCAGACCACACGGTGCGCTCAGCTCCATGGGAGGGGGGTTCCTCCAGGCTGGCGGCCTTTGCCCAGAAGTGGAGGTGGGGCGGGCCCCCAGGACGAGGGCCCCAGGACGAGGGTCCCAGGGCGAGCAGGTGAGGATGGGGAAACCAGGGCAGGAGGCAGGCAGCTTGCACAGCGGGGACACCTGGCTGTACACCCCTCTCCAGGACGGCCGGGCTCCCGAGAAGCGTCCTCGTCACCTCTGTTTTCACAGGCTCCTGTCTTGGTCCTCACGGCTGGCCCCCGAACCCCGTACCCCCTGGCCTGGCTGCAGCTGGTGTGGGGAAGCTCTGAGCGGCCCCAGTTCCAGCCCGGGGGCCGCAAGGGACTGAGGGGGTTGCTGCAAGAGCTGCTTGCAAGATGGAGCTTGGAGGGTGCGTTCCTCCCTGGACAGGCGGGGCCGTATAGCCAGCTGACTGGCCATCTGCCCAGCACAGCTGCCCGAGGGGACTCCAGCCCCAGGGGAAGACGTCTCCTCGAATCCTGCAGCGTCAGACCACCTCTGGTCAGAGCCCCAGACTGGCGAATCCCTACCGCCAGACCCTGCTCCCACTGCCTGGCCAGCTGGAGCCAAAACACCAGCCACACTGCTCCCACAGGTCCACAGGCCCCCCTTACAGTGCCCTCCCCACTTTGCCTGCCCGCAAAGGCCACCACAGAGGGTCAGGAAAATAGCCAGAGGGCGTGGGGCTGCCTGTGCAGGTCAGGACGGCAGGGAGGGCAGGGCCTCTGAGGACAAAGCACTTTCTGGGACCCTTCCAGGAGGCCACCTGCTCCCACCAACCTTCTGCTCAGCAGAACAAGCTCTCACCACGGAACAAGCTCGGAACCCTCTTCGGGGTGGAGCAGTCTCTCCCTTCCTTCAGCCACCGCCATGCCCGCCCGAGCCCACTGCCGGCCAGAGTCAGGTGCTCCGGAGACAGGAGGGCCGTGGAAGGTGTGCTCGGGAGTCTCACAGAACTCAAGACGCATGAGGCCATCTGGGAACAGAAGCCCTGAGTGGCTGTGCGGGGGAAGGGAGGAGCGACCCCCTCCTGCCCAGTGGAAGGCTCTGGAAGAGAAGGAACTGGGGACTTGGGACACAGGAGGAGTGGGCAGGAGGGCTTGGGAAAGTGTGGAGCGGGAAGAGACTGTCTCGTGCGATCCATTAGCCCCTGACTGGACAGGCTTTCGGATGCTGGAGGGCTCCCGGGGCCCTAGGCGAGCAGGTGACCTCACCAAAGATCCCCGGGGCTCAGGAAGGGGCCCAGGAAGGATGCCGAGCAGTCTCCACGCGTGCCCTGGGGGAGCGGAGCCCTCTGAGCCCGCCCACCCTGCCCAGCAGCCTGGCATTCCCGGGGGCCTCTGGAAGTCCCCGGCCAACCATGCAGAGCGGGCAGGCTGAGCGGCCAATGCCACGGTGATAATCCCTTCTGAGGCTGCAGCTTCCCTCGGACAACTAAATCCACTGGGGTCGCAGCAGGAGGAATGTCCGGCAGAGGTCACGTGGAGTGTCCGGACTACCCGCTCACATTTCCAGACGCAAAGGCCCCCAACCCAGAGACTGTGCTCCTTTCAAAGCCACAGGGAATCTTCCTCCTCGGAGCAAAGCAAGACCCAGGGTGGGGGTCCTGCCCTGCTCCACCTGGAAGTCTGTCCAGTCCACCCTCCGGGCAAGGTGCACCAGACCCTCCGGGGACGTTCTGGACAGGAGGCCCTCACCCCTGCCTGGGCCGCTAGCCCACCCGTCTGCAGCCCTTCAGCAGCCTTTCCCAGCTTGGCAGGCCCCACACCCTGCGGGACGGCTGGGGAGGGGCTGCCAGAAGGTTCCCTTCCCCCTCCTCAGATCGGCACGTCTCCCTTTGAGGCCAGAGCAAGGATCGACTTGCTGTTTCAGAGAGACCGCTAGCCGGCCGCGGAGAGTCATCTTTCAGAACGAAGTCCATCTCAGCGGGCTCCCTGACCCCCTCTTCCTGCCCATTCTGGTGCTGAATTCCTTCTCCTGTCTCAGCCCCACAGCGCACGTGTTTAACACATAAACCAATTCTCTGTGACCCCGTCTGGGCACAGCCCGCCCCTGCACAGGCCCCCAGGCCCCCGGAGACAGGCTTTGGAAGGAAGTGCAGAGGCTGCTTCCTTTCTGCCTTCTCCAAGCCGGGCTCCCTGGGCGGACCCGCCTGGCAAGGACCCAGATTCCCTCACCTCGGGTCTGGAGAGCCGCGTCCGCCTTGGCGCGCAACCCCCATTACAGAGTTAAGGGAGGCGAGGAAGGGGAAGGGGAGAGGCCACGGAAGGGCCCCCAGACACAGCCCCAGAGCCTTGGCTCAGCCTCCCCCTCCCCGGCAAAGAGCCCACTGTTCTCAGGGCCCCAGGGCCCAGTCTCCCGGGGGCCCGGGTCTCCAGACGTCGCGCGCAGCCCTCCCGCTCTCCGCTACTCACATGCCGGGCTGCAGGCGGGGCAGGGCGCCCGCGGGCACGGCAGACAGCAGCAGCGCCAGCGCCAGGGCCACCGCGCGTCCCGCCACCCTTGCCTCCGGGAAAACAGGCATCGTGCCCGCGGCCCCGAGCGGGGTCTTTCCTGCGGTCGCTGGCTCACAGGTGGCCCCGGGGAGCCCTCGGAGCCGCCACCTCCACGTGCGCCATGGCCCAGCGGGGGACCCGGAGGACAAGGGGCGCAGCCACAGGTGCCCGCGCCGAATCCGAGCCCGAGGTGGCTGCAGGTGCGGAGTGTCCGGCTTCCTGCCCGCGCCCAAGGGGCAGCGGAGACCTGCGCGCCTGGGTCCACCCGGCACAGCGAGCCCAGCGCGCGCCCAGCCCCGCTCTCCGCAGGCCGGCCCGCCTTCGCCCCGCCCCCCGGCTGGACCCCAGACCCGACCCCGCCCACAGCCGGTCCCCGCCAGACCCCTTCCAGACCTGCCCCGCTCCGCCCACAGCCCCGCCCCCGGCACGCCCCGCCCCGCTGTCCCCGCCCCGCCCCGGCTTCCAGCCCCGCCCACAGCCCCGCTTGGGTCCTCACCCAAGCCCCCTGGCGGGACCAGCGCGGTCCCTTCGCGCTTCCCGCTCCCCTCAGCTGAAATCCCTGCGCCCTGTGCGATCCGAGTGACCAACGCCGGGGGGGCGGAGCGCCAGGGACACGCACCTCACCTGGGGCAAAGGCCGCTTGCTCTCCGCGGACCCCAGACCCTCCCGCGGGCAGCTCTCCGCCCTCGGTCCCCCTTAAGTCCCAGGAGGAGCCGGCCTTGGCTCGTCCTCCCCGCGGATACTCCTCGCGCCGTCGCCCGGCACCATCCTTCCGCTCCGGTGGCCTGGGGGTGCGGGCGCCCAGCTCCCGGCCGCGGTCTAGGGCAAGACTCTCCCTTTCAAACCGGTTTGGTGTGGAATTCACGTCCCCCAGGGGGAGGACCAGGCGCGCCACGGCTCCTGCGGAGGGACGGTCCCCGCGCAGGTTTTTGAAGAGCGGAGGGAGATGCAGTCTGGGTGGGACCAGACGGGTGGACAGGAGTTAGGCGCCCGGTTAGTCACATCCCTGTCGTGGGGCACGAGCCCCCCGCCCCCCAGGCCCAGCGGCAGAGCCCGCGGATGGGCAGCCTCACTGCCCAGCTGGCTGGTTCTCCTTCTCCAACACTTCAGGTGTCCAGGTGACTGGAAAGGCTCCGGAACGCCCCGCCCTCGACTGGAGCCACTGGCTGGAAGGGACGGGGGAGGCGGGGCCCCCCAGCAGCCCGGAAGCAGTGGAGATTCAACAGTGCCCCCAACATCTGAGCGGGAGGGTTATGGTCATCTTAACAGGGGGCGGGGCCTGTCAGGGGGGCTGCTGTCACCCTGTTGTACAACTGGAACCTGAGGTCAGGAGGGGGCAACACCCTAAGTCGCCCAGCTTGCAAACTGCAGATCTGGGAACTGAACACAGGACTCTGGCTCTGGGGACCTCTGCTCAACCCCTACTCCGCTGCCTGTAAATCTAAGAAAAGCACGGATGTGGATGGAGCAGAGGGCAGTCCAGCAAGTCTGGCCCCTGGGTGGGCCTCAGGCGGCTCAGGCTGTCCGACAAAATGCCACAGCAGAGGGTTCTCACCTTCCTGGAGACCCTAAGTCCCAGGTCGGGTCAGGTGGTTCGGTTCCTGGTGAGGGCTCTCTACCTGGCCTTCAGACAGCTGTGTGTGCTCACCTGGTGGAGAGAGACAGACAGACAGAGAAAGAGTGAGCCTGGTGTGTCTTCCTCCTCTTACAAGGCACTAGCCCTGTAGGATCAGGGCCCCACCCCTATGACCCCATTTAACCTTGATCACCTCCTTAAAGGCCCTGGTTCCAAATACAGTCACGTTAGGAGTTAGGGTTTCAATGTATGTATTGAGGGGACACAGTTCAATCCACAGCAGGGTGATTGCAGTCTTCTGAAATCCCAGATGTGGGGTAGCACCCCTGCTCGCTGATGCCCAAGCACGACCTTGTGTGCCCATCCTGTCACCCTCGCTCCTTGGAGCCTGGCTGGGGTCACAGCAGGGCTGACCCACTGTGGGGCTCCAGGTGTACACTCTCCTGGGCTCCCTAGTGCCCTACATCAAGCCGGCCTGACCTGGGTGCAAGTAGGGGTGTGTGAGTGCCCCCCAGAGAGCTTACCCCTTCTCTGCCGGAGCCGTGCCCAGTGCTCGACCGTGTTGAATGAATGAACGAAAACCTTGCAAATGGTCAGCAGCATCTCCACTGAACTCCATCCTGCCCCTCCAGCCCATGGGGTGAGGGTGATTCATCCGTTCAGAAAAGTCTCCAGCTTCTCAGAGGAAGAATTTGGGTGAATCCTGGGGTTCAAATGGAGGCCTCTGGGCAGAGGGATCCAGGGTTGGTGGGGCCTGCAACACATAAAATTGGGGGCCCTCTTCAAGAAATGTAATGTAAAAATTGGTTACTTTGCCAACTGACATAAATACATGCCCTGTGCACACATTCCAGCCCCCCTCCCACCCCCACGCCGGAAGACCCCAAAGCATAAGCTACATTGACATACAGTGATCCAGCCCTACCAGCCCCACTGTCCTGAGCACCAAGTTCAGCCAGCCACCAGGTGAACAGCCCTAAGCCAGGTGCCAGGTGGGCAGGCAGGAGGGAGGTCCCTATGACTAGGACACCTGCCCACCCCACACACTCACTCAGTAGGTCTGTGGCCATGACTCTCAGGCATGGGTCTGGGTGCATGACCCCCAGCACAGAGCTCCAAAGACAGTCGGGCATCTCCGATGCTCACCGGGCACCCCCACTGTCTCCTTTGCCCATTTAAATGTTCCTCCAGCCCTGGCCAGTTTGGCTCAGCGGTTAAAGAGTTGGCCTGCGGACCGGAGAGTCCCGGGTTCGGTTACCGCTAGGGGCATGTACCTCGGTTGCAGTTTGTCCCCGCCCTGGTTGGGGTCGTGTGGGTGGCGACCACTCGATGTGTCTCTCTCATGTCGATGTTTCTCTCTCTCTTCCTCCCTCTCTCCCTCCTGCTCCATCTGAGGATAAATGTAAAAATGTCCTTGGGTGAAGATAAAAAAAATAAAATAAAATGTTCCTCCATGCATCTTCCGGCGAGACAACCTGTGTGCCACCCGACGGGCTCTGATTTTGTATTTGAAAGGAGTAATAAAACCGCACTTGTGGGTTTACAACACCCTTGTGAACAGATTTATCTCAAACAAGTCTTCATTTACAGTGATCTACGAAACAGAGTACCGCACCTGTTCCCCCAGAGCTACCTACCTGTGCCCGTTTTCCTAATAAAGAGACAGTTGGCGGGACGTCACACACATTGTCCTAGTCTGCGGTTTCAGGGGCAAGACGGTCGACGGTGCTGCTGGACATGCAAGCTTCTCATTGTTCCTTCAGACTCATCTCTCCTCGCTGTGCAGTGTCCTGAGTTGCTCAGAAATGAGCGCTTAGCTTGGGAAAATTAATCCTTACCCGAGGATATTTTCTATTTATCTTCGGAGAGAGTGGAAGGGAGAGGGAGGGAGGGACACACACATCAACTGGTTGCCTCCCGCATGGCCCCCACCAGGGCCTGGGACTGAACCACAGCTGAGGTATGTGCCCTTAGTCAGAATCGAACCCGGAGTCATTGTTCCCCGGGCCAACGCTCTAACCGCTGTGTTGGTTCTCTTTCTTTGTAGCCTTTTCTATGTGTCTCTGTGTCATGGGGACCCACCCACAGTGGTTCCAGCGCTCAGCTGGGCAGCCTGCGGGACGTAGCCCTCCAGCCCGGGCGAACCGCATACCCTCCGTCTGTGGGTGTCTCTGCCGACTCTTGCTCCAACCCCACGTGGTTGTGCCACCTGCCCCGCTTGGCCGGAATGAGACGGAGGAAGCTTGCTGGTGACAGGCTTAGATGTCCAATGGGAGCACCCCGTTACTCTCATGTTCCCCCAAATCACACGGTCATTCTCGCCCACCGTTCTTCCAGAGGGACTTTGGAGTCCCTTTACCCAGTTCCTTCGAAGTGGCATTGGACCTTTTATCGGAATCGTGTTGAACAGCCATCCGTCCCTGAAGAACTGACCTCTGCACAGTAGCCCAGCTCCGAGAAGGTCCGGAACCGTGGTGGGAGCTGGCTCGGCGGGCCCGTGTGGGGGTGCCCCCTGGGGTCGGATGGCAGGCTCGAAGCCCTCGGGCCCACGGGGCTTCCGCAGATGCAAGGCTGCAGACGCTGTGGAGGCAGAGCTGCAGCTGGGGACGGTGCCGGCCACCTCGGGTCTCAAGCCCCAGCCCACCTCCCATCCCGGGAGCCTTTAGCCAAACCGTAGCCAGATGTCTCCTTTCCGCCTTGGGTCCCTGACTCCACGCACAAGGTACAGACGCGGACTGGTCATCACAGTCCGGGGTCTGTGGGGGGTGGGGCACCAAGGAGAGGTGTGCAGCTGAGTCATGGACACCTCATTAAAACGGAGGCTGGCGGCCAGGGGAGTCCTCACCCAGCACCACCGCACACGTTACACGGGGCAGGGAGAGGCCTGGTTGCATCCCCCATAGGAAGTGTCTCTGCTCTCGCTGCAGGAGCCAGATTTTCTCCTTGCCCAGCAACAAGCCCAGCCAATGGGAACCCTCACCGCTCAGCCAATGAGAAGCATCAGCACCCGGAACTCCGGGCCCCTGTGGACTTTGCTCCCAAGCACCCCTCCGCCCGCCTCTTTCCCAAAAGGAACATCCCTCTGGTTTGCAGACCAGCCCGTGGTTTCTGCTGCAGAACGCTTGTCCCGAATAGCAATTCTCTGCTGTTCCCGAATAAACCCATTTTTGCTGATGAAAATAACTGGTGATTTCATTTTTACAGTCAACACTGCACACCCCACTTGGGCCAGGAAGAGAGCCGCAGGCACCAAGCATGGAAGCCAGAAGCCGGCTGGCTCGGCCGCTGCCCCATGCAGCTCCCTCCAGCTCCCCTTGCCCTACCCTGCCCACACCTGCCCTGGGCCAGGAGGGGCACCCACTGGGGGGCACCCAGGTGGCCACTCCCAGTCACCTGGAGTTGGGCTTGGTTTGGAGCCTCACACAGGCCAGTGTGAGAACAGGTGCCCCTTTGGCATCTGGGAAACCATTGCTCTATCTTGGGTGAAAAGCATTTTTTTTTTTAATTATTTTTTTTCCTTTATTGATTTTAGAGAGAGGAAGGGAGAAGGAGAGAGAGATAGAAACATCGATGAGAGAGAAGAGCATCGATTGGCCGCCTCCTGCACGCCCCACAGTGGGGATTGGGCCCACAACCTGGACATGTGCCCTGACCGGGAACCGAACCAGCGACCTCTTGGTGCAGGGTCCACGCTCAACCACTGAGCCACACCAGCCGGGCGTGAAAAGCATTCTTAAGAGACATTGCTTCTCAGTGTTTTTATCTCATCCTCTGCTGGAAATAATAACAGCCTTGGCCCAGGGAAACCGTCCGTGGGGAGCAGGAACCACCCCCCGTCTGGCGGTCATTTCCAAAGCCTCCTGCTTGCCCGGAGCCCCGGCTGCTCCGCCCCGTGGTCCGGCTGTAACCCCAGCGCTGGGGAGAGGGTCCCACCGCGAGGTCAGCACGGCCGCCTCCATCGCCCTGATCTGCCGCCGTGGGCCACCCAAACTAGTCTGGTCTGAATTTCCCCTCTTGTTCTGAGAGCAGGAGAGTTAATTAGGAGGCATTTTCAGGCCCTCAGACGTGGGGCCTCCTGTACGCAAAGCCTCCCCAGGGGTCTGTTCGGTCCAGATAGCAGGGAGCCTCTGCCAAGTTCCACAGACGGGCCCCACCAGGAGGTGACCATGCAGCCAGCATCGTGCTGAGTGAGCCTTAGCCAGGGGGAACCTCTGCACACGCCAGGCACTGTCCAGCCCCGGAGGCAGCCCTGGGGCCGGCTGAGGCCCCCCGCCACCTGGTCCCTCCGAGGAGGAGAGGCCTCGCCCAGGACACTGGTCTCTGGGAGGTGAGCTCTGCCCACAGGTCCCACAAACGGGAATAGTCTTCAGGCTCACATTCAACTCTCCGACCTGGCGAGCTGCTACCTGGCACCCCAGCCTCCCCGAGCACCCAGCCCCCAGCAGCTCTGAGGTCCCACCCTGCGGCTCCTGTTTGGCAAGTGCCTGACCCTGCTGTGCCCCCCACCCACAGGTCCGTCAGAGACAGATGTCAAAGATGGGCCCCACTGATTTTGTAAAATGCGAACACCTGGAATTAAGAGAGGACGGCACACCTCTCCACAGGGACGTCAAGACTTTGTCTTCCTAGGGAAGAGTTGATGACAATGACTTCATCTTGAACTTACCTTCACTCCTGCATTGGACGCTGGGCTCCAGCTCCATCTGGGCAACTCTGCCACCTGCTGACCAGAGTGGGAACAGCCTTTCAAAAGCCCCAGGAAAGAAGAGTCAAAAAGTCCAAGGGCCCAAGGACTCCAGGAGTGACGGTCACACCACCTCCCCTCCTGCAGAGGCATCGTGCATGTCTGCAGAGGGACGATCTCCGTTTGCATCTTCTCACCGTTGGCACAAATGGTACCGTCTGTTCTGGGAAAACTGTGTCCCTAAAAGACACGTCCAAGTCCTGACCCCCTTACTTGGAAATCCAGCCTTCGCAGGTATAACGAGGTTACAGTGAGGGCATTAGGGTGGGCCCTGCTTCAACACGACCAGTGTCCTTGCAAGAAGAGACAGAGACACCGGGAGAAGACAGCCAGGTGACCACGGACATCCGGGTAATGTGGCCACAGCGACCCCAGGTTCGCCGGCAGCGCCAGAAGCAGGCAGAGGCAGGAACGGCTCCCCGGCAGGTTTCAGAGGGAGCTGCCTGCTGGCAGCCGAGGCTTGGACTTCTGTCGCCCAGACCGAGACGAGAAGTGTCCACTGTTTTAAGCGCCTCCATTTGTAGTGCTCTGGTGTGGCCGCCCCAGGGGACAGCTGTCTGTCACCGAATACACAGTTCTCCCTGTCACTGCTGGAGTTTGAGGGCCTGCAGGTCATGCCCACATCCAGCTGGGTCAGCATCCTCACCCTCATGTCCTCTCCTGTCAGCCTCCTGGGGACCTCAGGACCCATCCATCTAACTGGTCCCACGCCCCGGCTCCCAGAGTTCTTCACGCGGTTCACTGGGGCTTCAGGAACGTGCTCTCGCTCTCTGTCTCTGTCTCTCTCTAAGTCTCTCTCTCTGTCTCTGTCTCTGACAGCTCAAGCAGCCCATGCACACGCCACAGCTCCCAGAAATCCAGGTGCCCCACCCCCATTCACTCCATCCCTCCTCTTTCTCCCAGCTCCAGCCCCTGTTGGATCTGCTGCCGTCTCCAGCCAGACCGGGACCCTCGACTCCCGGTCCCCAACGTTGACGCTTTCGGGAGACACTCCTCCACGTCCTGCTGGATGTGGCAGGACCACCAGGCCCTGGCCCTCCTCCCTGGGCCATTACTCAGGTTGGTTGCAGAGAGCGGCCTGGAGGGGGAGTAAACCCCACGCGCCGCCCTGCCCTGGGGATGAGGAGGGAGCATGCTCGCAGACCCCGGTCCTTCTCCTAAAATGCACCCACGGTGTGCGGCACCCCCGTGGGAACGGGGCTCAGGGAGCCAGCTCCCATGCTGACACTCTGGCCACTGCTTTTCCTGTGAGAGCCTGTTGTCTCTGACCTCGGGGTCCTGTGTCCTCCATCCCTGACACCCTGGCGTCTAGGCTGTCCGTTCACAAGTGGAGCTCCTGGCCTCACGGTTCTTGGCAAACTCTCCCTCCCAGGACCCCGGCCTCCCTTTCTCTCTGTCTTCGTCCACAGCCAGCCGCAAACCCCGCCCAGACAGTCCACTCCCAGCAGCTGCCCTGTGCAAGGCTCCCCTGAAACCCCCAGGGTCCTCCAGCCGCTCAGGGATCCCCACGCCCGCCCCTAGTCAGCTCCCCTGAGCATCACTGCTGTTCCAAACTGCCCCCCTTTATCGCACCTGGCTGCACCCCCAGCTCCCAGTGAAGACTACAGATGGCCTGAGAACTGCTGAACGCCCCCCGTCTCCACCTGGCCCTCCAGGTCCGGGGCCCTCCGTGGGGCCCTCATCTTCCTGCACCCCCACCTCACATGGGCCAGGCTGTGACGAGCTCCTTCGGAGCTGGGCCGGGCCGGTCCTCTCCTGTGCATATCAGCTCACGAAAGCCTCATGTCCCCCTGGGAGGTAGGCTTTATTCGCACCTTCTAGACGGGGAAGAAAAGCTGGAAGGCCACCTGACCCATTCGAGGTCAGCCACAGCTATGTATGGACAAGCCCAGCTCAGACCCACAGCAGGCTGGGCCCTCGGAGCTGGCTGTCCCTGGACAACAACCCACAGCCACCACCACCTCCTGGAAGCCCCCCAGCTATCTTCTGTGCTAGACCGAAGCAGCTCGCTCTTCACCGCGTCCCCGCTTCCACCTGGTCCCTGAACCTCGTCTCCCCTTCTCACCTCCCCCAACCCCCGCGGGGAAGACCTTGCTCAAGGGCGACAGGAAGTCCAGCTGTTAAAGAAAATAGCTGTGTCGTGGTGGTGTCTGACCAGAAGAATATGTATGCCGGGGAATATGCAAACACGTGAGGATGGGCTCTCCTGCCTGCCCCTCCCAGCAGCCACCTGCACGGGAAGCAGGGGTGAGGGGCCGGAGCGCAGCTTCTGCCCGTCAGAGGCCCCAGCTCCTTGCTGATGTGTGACCGCCAGGCTGACAGCCTCGGTGAGACTGCTTTCTCCTGGCCAAAGCGGGTCACACCGCCGCCCAGACACCTGGTGGGGAGCAAAGGCAGTGTCGGCGATGCCCCTGACATAGGGGCTCAGCACAGCACCAGCACCAGGCGACCCTGAGGTGGCCCTTACTGTGGGCCCGGCCGGTGCTAAGCACGTCACAGGTGTGAACCCAATGAATCCCAGCACCCAGCGGAAGTGGGAACGATTATCTCCACGCACCAGGAAAGGAAACTGAGGCACAGAGAGCTGCCTCCAAGTCTACGCGGACAGAACCGGAGCAGCCAGGATTCAAGCCCAAGCCGTCAGACACCCGAGTCCACACACTCAGCTGCCATCGCCGAGCCCCTCCGTGGTGAGGGGAGACCCAGGAGAGGGTCGGCTCAGGGACCTGATCCCGGACAGGGTAGAGCAGACCCAGCCACGGGCTCTGGGTGCCAAGAAGGCACCCCTGGTCCACAGAAGGGCAGCAGCTGTCCCCACCCTGCCTCAGCAGCGCAGAGGGGCTAGCCCTGCCTGCTGCCTACGTTTGCACACTTGCTTAGCACTCTTTACGGCCTTTTCTGTTTGTTTTAGGAAGCCAAGTGCCGCAAACATTTCCACATCTGAGTACTTCAGTGCCCCACGTCAGTGTTGAGGTCCAAGCAGAGCAGGGACGGGCTGTCCAGGACCTGCGCGTGGGCGGGAGGACCCAGGAGCTGGGAGGGCCCTCGAATTGTGCACCCCCCCCCCAGGGCACCCCATTCTGCGCAAACCAGGAGGGGCTTTGCTAGTCCGCCGAGCTGTGCCAGGCGTGTGGGCGCGGGCGTGTCATCGGAACCGTCCAAACTGGCTTCTTCGGCTGCAGCACGCACACTGTGCTCACATCCCCGTGCTGTTGGGAAACGTAAGAACGGTGGACGTGTCATAAATGCCAAGTGCCGATCCTACACGGCAGCAGCGCCCCTGCACTGCCCTGACAACCGCGCGCGCGGCCGGTGGCTCGGTGGCTGGAGGCCGCCAGTGGACGGAGAGGTCCCGGCTCCGTTCCCGTCAGGGCACAGGCCGGCGCTCGCTCCGCGGCGGGGGGGTGCGGGAGGCCGCCCATGGGTGTTTCTCTCGCATCTGCGTGTCTACTTCTCCCTCCCTCTCTCTTTAAAGAACCGATGAAAACATCCCAACAGGGCCCGAGCGCGCACACAGCAGTCACCCCGCAACGGAGAACTTTATTACGCGGAGGAGCCAAGCAGCGGGTCGTGCTGAACGGCGACGTGTCCCGGGCAGGTGGGGTACGAGCGGAGGCGGCAGACGCCCCAGGGACCGGCGGGGCGAGGCCGCGGGGCGCCCACGGGCGGGCCCACACGTCCCGCTCGCACGGCCGCGCGGGGGGCGCAGGAGCGCGAAGACCGGCGTGCACGGCGGACGCCCAGGGGCGCTCGCTCGGGGCGAGGAGGCCGCTCCCCGAGGAACAGCTGCGTCTCAGGCGTCCCCATACCCGGACCCGCCCAGAATGCAGGGACCTCGGCCGCGCCCGGGGCGGCTCCTCGGCAGCAGGTCGGGGCCGGGTCCCTGGGGTCAGCGGCGCGGGGTCCATTTACTCCGAAGGGGCGTTGGGCTCGTGGCGACCCCTCCCCGTCTCCCTGGGCAACTGGCCCCGCCCCCACCATCCTGTCTTGTAAACAGGAAGTTGGTGTGTGCTTCCGGCGCGCGGGGGGCGGGAGCGATTTGAATAGCGGCGGACTGGACCAATCACGGAGCATGGCTGGCGAAAAGCCAATCGCGAGCGCCGGCAAAGGCGGAGCCGGGGGCGGGGCTGATAAGACCGAGCCAATCGCGACAGCCCCGAGGGCGGGGCGAGGGCCGGACGGGCGGCGGCGGCGGCTGTGACCGCGTCGGCGTCGGGGTCGGGTCCTGGTCCCGGTGGGCGGCGGGCGCGGCGATGCTGCAGCTGCGGGACTCGGTGGACTCGGCGGGCACGAGCCCCACGGCGCTGCTGGCGGCCGGCGAGGAGGTCGCGGTGGGCGGCGGCGGCGGCGGCGGCGCGGGCGGGGGACGGCCGGACACGCCGCTGCGACAGACTCTGTGGCCGCTCATCGTCCACGACCCCACGCGCCGCGCCCGCGTCAAGGAGTACTTCGTGTTCCGGGTGAGGCCGGGCCCGGGCTGCGGGGAGGGGCGAGGGGAGTCGGGCGCCGAAAGTAACCCCGCCCTGTGCCTGCGCAGCCCGGCACCATCGAGCAGGCGGTGGACGAGATCCGCGTGGTGTTCCGGCCCGTGGAGGACGGCGACATCCAGGGGGTGTGGCTGCTGACCGAGTAAGCGGGCGCGTCCTGGGTGGGGGGCCCCGGCCCTGCCGCTCGAGCGCCCCCACGCCGCCGGCCCCGTGCGCCGGGCGGGCGGAGCGCACAGGTGACCTCCCGGTGCCGCAGGGTCGACCACTGGAACAACGAGAAGGAGCGGCTGGTGCTCATCACCGACCAGTCGCTGCTCATCTGCAAGTACGACTTCATCAGCCTGCAGTGCCAGCAGGTGGTCCGCGTCGCCCTCAGCGCCGTGGACACCATCTCCTGCGGCCAGTTCCAGTTCCCCCCGAAGTCGCTCAACAAGTAAGTCCGGGCAGCGCCGAGCCCGGCGCCCGGCCTTGCAGCCAGCCCCTCGATTGTCTTCTCCGCCATCACGCGGGGACGTGGAAGCCTCCGCCCCGGAATCAGAAGCTTCTCAGAGCAGAAGCTGGTGACTCCGGGCCGGCGCACTGGAAGGAGCTCTGGCACAAAACGTTTAGGCGAGTAGTCAGGTGGATCCAACACATTGAAGCAGGCGAGACAGCATTCTATCTCCGAGCCGGAAAACTTCCGGCAGGTCGAGTCGGCTCGGGTCAACTTTGAAAAGAAAACAGTAGTCTGGCCGTCGCTCCAGGTTAGGCAAATTTGAAGACGTTTGATGGCCAGCTCTGGTTGATCTCCGTGCTGTAGGGGAGAAGCCTGGACACCGGTGCAGTGCGTGGAAGCAACGGCCCGAGCTCAGAGGTCCGGGTTTGGAGAGGGAGCTCAGGGAGCAGACACGAGCCACAGATGCGAGCCAGCAAGAGGGCGCTCAGGAAGGACTGAAGCAGCCCTCCTCCTGGAGACTGCTGCTGCTCCTTGAGTCCAGGGTCCTTTTCCGTTGTGAAACGTCACGTGTCGTCTAACCACGGGCTGGCTTTTTGATGTCACCCTGTCACTGAGCAGGCTGCTGTGGGAGGTCGTGGCCTGCTCGGTGACGTCCGGTTTGTTTTTTCTGACCGCAGGCGAGAAGGCTTGGGGGTTCGAATTCAGTGGGACAAGCAGGGCCGCCCCTCCTTCATACACAGGTGGAACCCCTGGTCCACCAACGTGCCCTACACCACGTTCATCGAACACCCGATGGCCGGTGCTGATGAGAAGACGGCCTCCCTGTGCCGGGTAAGAGCCCGTGGTCACAGCGCCACCCAGTGGTGGTGATGGTCTCGCCTGCACCACCCGCTGGTGGCTGCCGGGACCTGAAGAGTGGCTAGTGAGACAGGAAATAAGCTTTTAACTTTTAATAATTTTAGTTGACTTACATCTAAATAGCCCATGTGGCTAGTGGCCACTGGTCAGTGTACCTTCATAACGTGGCCCTTTGGCCATGATTGTCTTGGAGAAGAGTCCGGAAGGGCTTTGGGCAGGGCAGCTGACCCCGGCCTGTGTGGAGCCAGGCAGGCTGGGTGCCCACCACGGAGGAGCTGTGGGGCCGGTGGTGAGGGCAGTCTCAGCCCCGTGGCAGGCGCCCCACCAGCTCGCTGTGCGCTGGCCCGCTTCCTGGCTTGGTGGTGCCAAGGGTTCGGTAGTTTGCTGTGGCAAAACCCCAGACCCGTGGGGAGAAAGGTTCTGAGGGTTGGTTGTCACCAGCACTAGTGAGCACAGGGTGAGACCTGATGCTTCCAGGGGGCCCCACCGGAGACAGGCTGAGGGCCAAAGAGCTGTGGCTGGAAACCCCTCATCCAAGAGCAGGGTGGGGGTCAGCACAGGCCCAGTGGCCTGGTGGGGGGGGGGGTCCTTTATGGCTCACTCTGATCAGCTGTTTTCTGTCTTTAAAGTTGGAAGGCTTCAAATCTCTGCTGATCCAAGCTGTCAAAAAGGCCCAGAAGGAGAGCCCTCTGCCGGGCCAAGCCAGTGGTGTGCTGGTCTTGGAGCAGCCCCTCCTCATCGAGACCTACGTGGGGCTGATGTCCTTCGTCAACAACGAGGCCAAGCTGGGCTACTCTATGGCCAGAGGCAAGATAGGGTTCTAGAGGCTGCACCAGGGGGCCTCCCGGAGAACCAGCCCGGTGTGGGCTCGGGTGGCAGACCTCGGCCAGCTCGTGCCGCCGCCAGGGCCGTGCTGCCTCTCTGAGGGGTCTGAGCGAGCTTAGAGTCTAGTCACGGCGTGTGTCCTCGAGCGGTGTGGACACGTGCTCCCGAGCCAGACAGCGGGAACTGAGCGAGGTGCGGGCTGCTCCCCTCCCGGGCGCCTGTTTCTCCTGGAGCATCTCCGCGCGGCTTCTCCCTCCCACTGCCCTCTCGCCTGGCAATAAATGTCCTGTGATTGCGCTAGAGTGTCCCTGGCCCTGAGCTGTGTCGTCACCCCGGGAGGCCCTCACCCAGCGCCCCCGGTCACAGGTTTGCACTTGGTGTCCAGCTGTGTATGTGGAATGGCATCCGTTTTTTGAAGCTAAATACAGAAGCACCAGCAGCCTGGTGTGGTGAGCAGGAACCTCTGCCTGTGAGCTCCTGGCTGTCGGGACAGCCGCTCTTGGGTGAGCCAGTGTCCGACCTGAACCCCTTTCTCCTGTCTGTCCATAGGGACGTCCATGGTGTCTCAGGTCCAGGAGGTTTGCAGAGAATTGTTTGCAGACTGTTCATGAGTTTGAGCAAGTTGCCTGAGTAGTTCTTTGCCTGTTTTGATAACATTGTTGAGTTCGTGTTGTCACAGTCGTGTTTAAAAAGGAAGTCGCTTTGTTTACTTCTAAAGAAAGCCCTTCAAACAAAAGGAACCATGTTCTCAGGAAGCCGTTCCCACGGAGACACAGGCTTCGTCAGGGTCGCGTCCTACCACGCTCAGGCCCCAGCCCGCCCCTGCACTGGCCACAGCTGATCACCGTGACTGGGACGCTCACTGATCGGTGCTGGCCGGCTCCTGCAGTTCCAGCCCTGGTGGGGCAGCGGGACTGAGCAGGCCGCCTGTCGCTCCGAGGCTGCTGGAACGCTAGCCTGGCCTCTCGCCTTGGCTTTGTGTCGCAGCAGACGCTGAGGATCGACTGGGGAGTTTCCTCTTCTGAAGCTGTCACTAAAGCAAGTGCAACAACCAACAAAGCCGCCTGTCCCGTGAGCGCATTCTGTCCTCGCTCCCTGGGCAGTGACGAGGGCACGTCCCTCACCTGCGTTCTCTACGAGACGCGGAGGGGGGTGCAGTCCACCTTCAGCAGGACAAGGACCCCTGGTTTGGAACCCTGTTGCCACCGTCCGGCCCCTCACCCTGTGGCCTGGCAGCCAGGGTGGGGCCCCTGGGAGCCCACTTAGCAGGGCGGTACGTCGACTGGCCCCTTTGTAGCATCCTCCATGCCTGGGGCTCCCTCCCAAACAGCCGCCGTCGTGAAACCCAGTGACCAGGGGAGCTCAGAGCTGAACAGGTGTCTGCTCGGGGGGGACAGGCTGCTTGGGGCTCGGGTCTCCTAAGAGGGTGCCCAAAATCTTAAAGCGAACCTAAAACACTTCCCTGTGACCCAAACCCTTCAAGAAAACCAGCACCAGCCTCTTAATGAGTCAGCAAATATTTAAATAAAAACAAGTCGTACCAAACATATTTACAAGAACGCCTTGCTGGGGGATTGAGGGCAAGTCGCCTCCCGTGGGCGCCGAGGCGCAGGGCTGCCCGGAGAGCTCGCTCCTCGCCCTCGGCTGCCACGCCGAGTCCCTCCCACTTCCCGTGGCCACTCGTGCACAGTCCTACGTGTGGGCGCCCAGCTGCCCGCAGGCGGTGCCAGCCCCTTCCTCCGTCTCCAGGAAACACAGGCAGAAGTGGTCCTTGCTGAGGAGGGCCAGCGAGTCCCCGCTGAAATGCCAGCACAGAGCAAGCACCTGGAAGTCACCTGGAGGGAGACAAGTGGCCAGGGGGTTAGAGGTCTGGGGTGAGCGTAGCCCAAGGTCCTGGGGTGCAGGGATGGGATGGAGTGACCCAGCCAGAGCCCCAAGCCACCTCAGCTCCGGTGGGCCTTGCCCCTACGAGCTCAGAGCCACGGGGCCCGCCTGCAGGAGCCGAGCTCACCTTCCCCGGGCACCTGCACGGACACGCAGCCCGCCGGCGACCACAGGTACACCTTGCTGCCGCCCGTGCAGATGGCCAGCCGGGGCCGCTGCGGGTCCCACTGGAAGGAGCGCACTGGGGCCAGCTGCTCGAGCACCACGAACAGCCTCAGCTTCCGTACATCCCAGATCCACACGGCGTTGGGGACGTTGTCTGCGGAGACAGGAGCGGGCCCAGTCCCTCACCCCCATTGCCCCGCAGCCCCCGCCCAGCTGTGATGCTGGTGACCGCCGCGGACACGGTGGCCGTGGGCCCTGATCTCCGCCAGGGATGACCTCGTGCCCCGTGTCTGCACTGGGCCCACGGCCTCTCCCTTAGGCTTGGCCACATGGGCAGGTTTCACTTTCTTAAAAACGATCTTTAAAAGCACGAACCCTTCTTACACAGAGGCCCCGGCTGCAGTGGGGCCCGGATCCTGTACTTCGCCAAGGAGGACAGAGCGAGTGGAGGGGCTGGGCCCTGGGCAGAGCGGCCGGCAAGGCCCGTCCCCGGGGCTGCTGTGGAGCAACGCCAGCCCTTTGGGTAGAGAGGACGCCGCGGGCGGGGAGCCTGTTGGCGGACGTTCCTCTCACACCGCTGATGTCCTGGGCACCCAAGGGAAAAGCGAGCGGACACACGGCGTAGGCGCAGCGCTCACCGTTCCGCGTGGCCAGGAAGTAGTTGTCGGGACTGAAGGCCAGGGCGCCTATGCCGATTTTCGGGTTTGCCCTGTCAGCAGCGGGCTTCAGAGTCTGCAGGGACACCGGCCCGGAGGCGATCTCATCTGGAACGTGACAGGGCCACCGCTCAGCACAGTGCACGCGCCCGAGATGCACAGTGGGCTGGGATCCTGCCCCGCGGCGGGGTTCAGATCCGGGGCTACGCTCACGTGGGACCCTAACCCCTGTCTCCCTCAGGTGACTGCTCTGAAAGCACCGGTGCAGGTGCCGTCCAGCGAGGGCCGGCGGGAGGCTGCGTGGTGACAGCAGGCCACGGGGGCCCCCGCCCCGCCCGGTCTCCGCAGCCCAGCCTGGCATCTGAGCACAGTCTGCTGCTCCTCACGCTCAGCGCTCTGGGTGAGACTGTGCAGATGCAGGGAAGGTGAGAACAGTCTCTAGGGAAGTGACTACTGTGTGCTATTTTGGTTCCCGTCAATACAGACCCATCCACTGTGACAAACATCCCCGCTGTGGGGGGAGGTTCCGACAGGGGGACGCTGTGCAAGGCATCTGGGGACCGGGGTATCCCTGTGCCTCCCCAACTTCACTGTCAACCCGATGCTCCAGAAAGGGCCTCGCGAACGTCACAGAACCAGGAGCGGCTGTGACGCGACAGGCTGGCGCTGTGTCGGGGCCGCACGCCCGCGAACGCTCCTGAGCCTATGGCCGCGCTCTGGCCGGCCACTGAGCACAGCTGGTGCCCATGCCACGGGCGAGACCCACGCACACGGGGCCGGCCAGGCCACGCAGCCCGCAGCCCCACACCACTGCCGCCTCCCGCCCCTCTGCCCGGCCGAGGACACCGCTATGCTTGGAGGCCCCAGCCGTCCGGTCGGGATTGCCAGAGCCAATATTCAGTCCACAAAAGCCACGCCCAGGTGGCGAAGGATTCACGGCCGAGAGGTGCTGGCCCGGAGGAGTCTCGGGAAAGGAAGGGACATCTGGAATGGACATGGACAAGGCCTCTTTCTCATAAAACAAGAAAAGGGCTCACATCTGCTCTCGGCGGCCCTGGGTGGAGGGCACGCGGGGCGGCCCAGCGTCCCCCGCAGGCTCTTCTCGGCCTCCTTATACACCACCTGGAAGACAGGGACGGTGGGCAGGGCTGCCCTGTACCTGGGACACTGATCCCGCGCGGGGTCTCAGTGTGGGCTCCGCCCGCGAGCAGACAGCATCTCCATGGTGACAAGCAGGCTCAGCGACCAGAGCATCTGTGACCAGAGGCCAACGGGAAGGGTGGATACCCAGGACGCACGTCCTCTGAGGCCAGGGGGCAGCTGTGACTGGCAGGCACCCAGGCGCCACACTCCCTCTTCCGAGCCACCTGGCCTCAAGCTGTCCCTGCAGCCCCACCGGCTCGTCTCCTCCTCACCACACCTGCCCTCTCTGTTGCTCAGGTCTCCCATCTGTGGCCTGTGTCCCCTGCTGTCCCCCAGCACCTGCTGAGTGAACACACACTCTCACCTCAAGACCTTCCGCTTCCTGCCTGTCGCCTGACACGCTCCTCCCTGACCCGCACCAGGTCTTCCTGGGGCTGCCCCAGCCGCCCCGCCGCTCCTCGGCCCCACCAGCAGTGGCCCTGCCCGCCCTGGGGGACACACAGCCCTCCAGCCCTCGCCCCTGTGCTCAGGGCAGGCCGTCTGCTGCGCCCTCTGCTCAGCGCTGGCGGACAGGCCCTGACAGCGCAGGGGCAGCTCTGGGGTGAGCCCTGGGGACACACAGCCCTCCAGCCCTCGCCCCCGTGCTCAGGGCAGGCTGTCTGCTGCGCCCACTGCTCAGCGCTGGCGGACAGGCCCTGACAGCAGGGGCAGCTCTGGGGTGAACCCTGGGGGCAGGCGAGATGCTGCTTTGCACCCGGTGGGAATGTGGGCAAGAAAACCAGGCCACTGGCAGTGTGTCCCATGAAACATCCGTCACTTTGGCTACGGTGACGGGAGATCCTGCGTCACCACAACCAGCGCCCCTGTGCTGCTCAGGTGCCCGGCTTACCACTCGGGGGTCACTGACGGCTGCGGGGTGCCCAAACTCAGTGAGAACCTTCCAGGTCACGTGGTTGAGGATGCGCACCTGGGGGAGGATGGCACGTGAGGCCTGATGGGACACCCGCCAGCCAAGCCCGCCCTCCGGGTTCACCTCGGGGAGCGCCCTCTCCCACCTTCCCGTCATAGCTCCCGACCGCCAGGAACTGACTGCTGGGACTCCAGGCCACCGCCTTGATGCCCAGGGACCACTCGTACGCACAGTAGGCCGCCAGGAGCCGGCCGTCCAGGGAGTAGAGCAGGACCTTGTACTGCAGGCAAGACGGGCTGTCAGTCCAGCCCAGCCCAGCCGGCCACAGTGAGCACAACCGGACACAGGGAGACGGGCCGTCAGTCCAGCCCAGCCCAGCCGGCCACAGTGAGCGGGACCGGACACAGGGAGACAGGCCGTCAGTCCAGCCCAGCCCAGCCGGCCACAGTGAGCGGGACCGGACACAGGGAGACGGGCCGTCAGTCCAGCCCAGCCCAGCCAGCCACAGTGAGCGGGACCGGCCACAGAACGCGGGCATTGGCTGGAAGAGGGTGAAACTAGACCAGCAAAGCGACGGGATGGTGGACGGGACGGATGGGGGCTGCCAAGGTGCCAGCATTCCGAAAGCCTCAGGTGAACGCAGGGCAAAGCACTTCTTGTACCTCCAGACAGGTGTCCCACGCCGCCAGCACACAGCCGTTGGGGGCCCACTCGATGCCAGCGAGGTCCTGTGTGTCCGTGTCAAAGTGCTGCCCAGGAACAGGGAGAACGGGTTGGTTCGGAAAGTGTGGCCAGAAGCTGACGCGCGTTCATGGTAAACCGAGGCCACCACGTCCAGCGTGCTGTTTCCTCACAGAGTCGGCGGAAAGGCCACACATGTCCGCTGTGCGTCTGCGTGTCAGGAGGCTGCCGGGCAGCGTGAGCCGTGGCCGCCTGGCGCCATCCTTCCCAGTCCCTTCTCGCCCCCTGCGCTCCGCCGCACCGAGGTTCCTCTGCCTCAGCCCACCCGCAGCCCCGAGCCCTCCAGAGCAGGGCTCTGACCCCGCCAGCAGCACTGCAGGGGTCTTACCCAGGGCAGGCCCTCTGCCAAGTTCAAGTCCACCGCTCTTCCCGACAGAACATGCTAGCGAGAGGAGGAACAGACCCGTGTGCGGGCGTGTTAACCGCACACACGGGGCACGCGTCATCTCTGTGGGGTCTTACGGACGCTGCCCCTTGGGGGACTGAGGTCCCAGGCAGCAGGTCGCCTCCTACTTGGCCCGAAGGGCCCAAGCGCCTGGAGACCACGGGCCGGACACTGCCCGACGGGGCGGCAGCGGGGGACACTGCCCGACGGGGCGGCAGCGGGGGACACTGCCCGACGGGCGGCAGCGGGGGACACTGCCCGACGGGGGCTCACCCGCAGCAGCTGCCAGTCGCTGCAGACGAAGATGCTGACGTAGTCCTTGCAGTCCCGCCTCTCGGCCAGGGCCAGGTAGCGGCCGTCGCGGGAGAAGGTGATGCCTGCGGGAAGAGGAAGAGCCTGGATCCAGGCGCGGCAGGAGCAGTGCCAGGGGAGGTCTCCCGGGAAGGGTGCAGCACAGGCCACGCGGCCGGGGTGGGGGCCAGCGCTCCTGAGGCGCACATGCCTGGGACCCGAGGGACCGGCGCTGCGAACGCTACCTCGTGGCCGGCCCCACCTTTAGAGATAAGTGGCGGGCACTGAGCCAGGTGGAAGTCAGCCTGTGACACTTTAATCCTTTCTTTTGAATCTAACTGGGAGGAGGTTTAGGGTGAGAGTTTGGAAACAGTGAATGGATCTCCGGGTTCCGCGCCAGCTCACAGGGCCCCGGGGCCCACTTCCCGCTGCTCGTGGAGAGAACAGCTACCCAGGTAAGGGGCGCCTCGCGCAGGAGACGCTCATGCCACCTGGAGAGACGCGACCTTCAGCCACAGCCTAAAGGCAAGGGCACAGCTGCACCTGGCTCAGAGGCAGCCCGCCCGCGACGGCAGCAGGAGGGGAGCATTCAGACTGCGGAAGCCCCGTCCTGACTGGGAGACACCGCAGGGCACGGTCAGGGTGTGAGTGGACACCACCCGACCCTCAGTGGTCCGGCTACACCCAGCGGTGGGCCGCGTCTGAGCTGCTCCCTGATGGCTCAGAGAGCACGTCATGACGCTCCTCTGGGCCGTCCCGATGGGACCGGTCTCCATGTCCTCCAGAGACCAGTTTAGTCAACAGAAGACTGAGAGCTGCAAAGTTCAGACTTCCGGGGGGGGGGGGGCGACCTGGGAGGGGCTTGGACCCAGGCCTGGAGCAGGGAAAGGGAATTACATGTAAACTCCTTGCCCCCGCCGTCCTCTAACAACGCCCTCTGTCGTCACTGATTCGTTTTAAAGGGGATCCTTGTCTTCTGCAGACACATGGACATTTACAGACAGATTTGAGGACGTCTGGGTTAGGCTTCAAAATAATTGGGGGGATAACCCAGGGGGGGTAAAATAATCCGGGGAGATAAAATAACCCGGAGGGAGATAAAATAATCTGGGGGGATAGAATAACCGGGGGGATAGAATAGTCCGGGGGGGAGATAAAATAACCCGGGGGGGGATAAAATAATCTGGGGAAGATAGAATCCGGGGGGATAGAATAATCCGGGGGGATAGAACCTGGGGGTTCGGGGCACGGAGGAGAAGGACGGCTGTGAGCTGGCGCAGCCCATGTCTGAACCCCACGGTAAGAAGATCGAAGACCCCGAGCAGGCAGGACAGCCTCAGCCCTGCCGCACTCACCCTGCGGACAGGCCTTGGGGTACTTGATGTACGAGACGGACTTCGTGCACAAGGACCAGACGGTCACCCGCAGCTGCCGGGGAGGGAGAGGGAACAGCGCGGTCACATTTGCAGAAAGGCCGTCCCGGGCCAGGAGCCGAGGCTGGCTGCAGCAGAAGCGGGGCTCAGCCGGGGCTCCCCGGGCGCCTCTCGCTGTCCTGCGTCACCCCAGCGTCAGCGTCTGCTCTCGCCCCGTCAGCCGACGAGGACGAGCGCACACCGCAGATGCGCTTCAGCTCGCAGCTCCTGAGTGGCCAGCTTGCATTCGGCAACCGCGGAAACGGTGGTCAGTCTGAAACACCTCTGCGCAGGGCAGCAGGTGGGGTGCTCAGCCTCGTTCTGTGGAGCCACCTGGCTCCTGGCCACCCCCAGACACTGAGCGCAGGCCCCGCCCGAGGCCAGAGGCCGGGGCGCCCGGTCCATCTTCCCCCCGTCCCTGCAGCAGGCACAACAGGCTCGGGCACCTGTCGGGCAGGACGGACGCCTGTGCTCAGGCAGACGCTTTCGGGACGGGATGTGACCCTCGGCCTGGTGACTATCACCCCTGAACCCAAAACACCTGCCACATTTGCACCTGCTTTCAAGGTTCTCTGAGCCCCATCCAGTCTCAAGGGGCCTAAAACCACAGTCGCACTCGAGTGGAACAGCCGAGTGGCTGTGTCTGGAGTTCTCTCTGCCGTGCGGGCTCAGCGACCGGCAGCTGCTCTGCCCGGCACAGCGGCGGCCCCCGCTGCAGGAGGGTGGGTGGCAGGGGCCACGACAGAGCCACCGCAGGCCCGCTGTGAGCGGCGATGGGCCCAGGGGTCGCTTTTGGTCAGAGGAACGTCGCTTTGAAACATGGCATTTCTGCCTGGCCGGTGTGGCTCAGCGGTTAGAGCGTCAGCCCGCGGACCGGTGAGTCGTGGGGGTGATTCCAGTCAAGGGCACAGACCTGCGGTTCAGTCCCTGGCTCTGGTCGGGGTCGTGTGGGAGGCGATCAGTCGATGCGTCTCTCATGTCGATGTTTCTCTCTCTCCCTCCCACTCTATCTGAAGACAGCTGGGAAAACGTCCTCGGGTGAGGATTAAAAAAAAATTTATTTTCTCATCTCCTTTTCCATGATACTTTCAAGTTTTCTTGACATAAAAAAATAAGTTCATCTTGATGACCTTATCCCAGCTGCTGGAAAATTGAAAAATTCCAGTCCTTAAGCAAAATACTTAAAATGACGTTTCCCAACTTAAGAGAGAGTTTCGAAAGTTCACGTAACACAGCAAATCAAGAGCAGCTTGCGTGAGTCTCTGCTGTGAGGGACGGGTGCGGTTCCCCGCTTTGTCACGGGGCAGACGGAGAGGTCAACACCGAGTGAGCATTCCGGATGAGAACCGTCCAGAGCTGAGCGGGACAGTCCATAAAACACCTGCAGGGTCTACACGGTAAAACGTCACAACATCACTTAGAAACATTCTAAAGACTCTGACAGAAAGGGACCCCACGCTCGTGGACCCAAAGGCTCTGCACTGTTAAGACTGCAAACACCCCCAAATTGGTCTCTAGCCTCGATGTGATCTCAGGCAGAAATCCTGGCAGAATTTTGTAAAGAAAGGGACAAATTCTGCCCTGGCCTGTTTTGCTCAGCGGTTAGAGCGTCGGCTTGTGGTCCAGAGAGACCCGGGTTCAGTTCCCGCTAAGGGCACGTACCTCGGTTGCGGTTTGTCCCCGGCCCTGATTGGGTCATGTGGGTGGCAGCCACTCGCTGTGTCCCTTTCACATCGATGTTTCTCTCTCTCCCTCCCACTCTATCTGAACAAACTATGGAAAAATGTCCTCAGGTGAGGATAAAAAAAAAAAGAAAGGGACAAATTCTTTCGAAAACCAGTATGTAAACGCAAAGGACCCAGAGTGGCCAAAATGACTTGGGAGAAGACGAAATCGGGAAACTCCCACTGGTTTTGGATCCCAGACTGACTGTGAAGCTGGGCAGCCAGGAGGGTGGTGCTGGCACAGAGACAGACGGACGGACGAGCCCAGGGACACACCACAGACAGGCAGCGACTTCTGACCGAGGTGCAGAGAGGGAAAGGATCCAGCTCAGCACAGGTCACACCCCCACACTTAGGAGCCGAACCACGCACGCACAGGGAAGCCAGAACTGTGACCTGGGGCTGCTGGGGATCTCTTTAGACACAAACTACATAAACCATAGAAGGAAAAAGAACCACATGTTCCTGAGGCACATATGTAAAGTGTGTGTGTGTGTGTGCATGCCTGTGCGTGCCTGTGTTGCGTGCCTGTGTGTGCTTATGTGTGTGCATGCCTGTGTGTGCCTGAGTGTGTACATCCTTGTGTGCATGCCTGTGCATATGACTATGTGTGACTGTACCTGTGTGTGTGCCTGTGCACATGCCTGTGTGTGCATGTACCTGTATATTTATGTGTCTGTGCATATGCCTGTATGTGTATGTGTGCCTGTGTGTACCTCTGTGTGTGCACCTGTGTTTGAGTATAACTGTATGTGTGCATGCCTGTGCATGTGTGTGCGTGTACCTGTGTACCTGTGTGTGTGCATGCCTGTGCATGTGTGTGCGTGTACCTGTGTACCTGTGTGTGTGCATGCGCCTGTGTGTGTGTGCATGCCTCTGGGTGTGTGCGTGTGTGTGGCTGTGTGTATAAGAACAAACAGAAAAGTGGGCACCTCACTGACAAGCAGAGGAATGAAACTTGAACCCAGGTGCAGCCCCACGTGCCAACCCGCAGCGGCACGGGGTTGGCGATCACGTCAGGTCCTGACACAAACACTGTGGATGGAAACCATCTCCTACAGACAGGCCCCCCCAAGGCACACCCCAGAAAGAACACCTCCACACAGGTCACAGGAGACACAATATATTCTGGCCAACATGGCTCCTGACAACTCAAATGCTCAACAAAGGTAGGCTGGCCGAGTAAACTGGGGGGATTTTCCTACAAGGACCAGCCATACCTCAACCTGGACGAATCTCAGAATCAACGCGAGGGGGAAGAGAGGACCGCCACCAACGCACAGAGAAGTCAGGTAAACGGCCTTGAGCAAGTGCAAACCCCCACACACATACACACCCTCACACACTCATGCACACACCGATACACACACCCTCACACACTTGCACAGATACACACACCCTCACACCCTTGCACACAGATACACACCCTCACACACTCATGCACACACGGATACACACACCCTCATACACTCACACTCACACACTTGCACAGATACACACACCCTCACACCCTTGCACACAGATACACACCCTCACACACTCATGCGCGCAGATACACACACCCTCACGCACATTCACAGATATACACCCTCATACACTCACACACATGCAGATACATACACCCTCAAACACTTGCACACATACACACACCCTCACACACTTGCACACAGATACACACCCTCATACACAGATACACACACTCACACACACTCACAAATACACTCACACGCTCACACTGATACATACACTCACACTGATACACACCCTCATACACACAAATACACACCCTCATACACTCACACACACAAGACCCTCAAGGAAAGTGAGGACCCAAACAGCACAGAACGCAGCAGCACGCAGGGCCCTTGGGGGACACAGGCTGCGGGAGGCCGAGGCTCTGGGCCGTGTGCCTCCTGTGGGCAATGCCTGAAGAACACACCAATGACACGCTCACCGACACCCCAGGCCAGACATCCTTACACAGAGATGCAGGTCAGTCCACACTGACACACATTCTCTACTATTAAGTCACAGGAATTGTTTCATCCTTGAAACATAATTTAAGATTCATTTTTTAAAAACCTGTTCATTTTCCTTTGAAACTGGGCGAAGGTTCTGTAACAACAGTCTGGGCGAACCACCTCTGACGACAGGATGTAATAAGCCCTCTCCGGAGCACCCACGCCCACACTCAACCTGCCTCGCTCAGAGAGCCAGTCCCACACTGAGGCGGCGGGGCGGAGGAGCCACTCACGTGGAACTCGGTGGTGTTGAGGACGTGGCGCCCGTCAGGGCTCCAGCAGGAGGCCACCAGCCCCGCGGAGCCCTCGTCGATCCTGCAGTGCCACTCGGGCTGCTCCAGAGACCACACCTGGGTGCAGACAGAAACGCAGGGTCGCAGGCAGGCCAGGGCCGGCCGCTCGTTGAGGAACAGCTGATTTCAAGCGCAGTCGGAGCGAGGGCAGCCTCGCAGCCTCTCAGGGCAGCAGGCCGGTGCCGGCTGACCACGGAGGTCACCTCCTTCTCGGGGGCTCCATTTTGTTGTGGTTTTAAAAGGTGGTTTCCCACCCTGGCTGGTTTGGCTTGGCGGTTAGAGTGTCGGCCCTTGAACCAAAGCATCTTGGGGTTGATTCCCAGTCAAGGGCACGTACCTGGGTTACAGTTGGATCCCCGGCTGGGTCAGGGTCTCACAGGAGGCAACCCATCGATGTGTCTCCCTCACATCTGTTTCTCTCTCTCTCCCCTTCCCTCCCTTCCACTCTAAGAATCAATGGAAAAATATCCTCAGGTGAGAATTAACAATAATAAATAAATAAACAGAAGGTGCCCCTCACCATCCCTAAAGCCTCCTCTCGTTAAGCCCTGAGACGTACGTACAGCTTAGTGCTTCCCAACACACACCGCGTGGGTCCCGGCTGCTGGACTTGGTCTGCACACACCTCCCGTTACCGAGTGCTATTTGCTTACAGATGAAGAATCGTTCAGCGTTTTCTCATTTCGAAAGCAAAACTATGTGAACTACTAGTTTTCAAAGGAAGCCGGCTTCGGGGGCACTGCCCTTTCTCCAAACCAGGGCAGAGAACAAACCATTCCTCCGGGCTCTCTCCAGAGACCGTGTTCGGGCCCCCGCCCCCCGCCCCCGCCAGGCGTACCTGCACCAGCCCCCGTTTGTACATGGCACACAGGATGAAGAGGGAGTCGGCCGACCACTCGACATGCTGAACCTGGTCCAGGCACGTGTACAGTCGAAGGATCTGAAGGCTGTTCACCTCCCGGACCACCAGGCGGTACTGGACACAGGACGCCTACACACGGAAAACAAGCCCTGACGTCCCGGGCTCTGCAGACGGGAGCCCCGGGAGCCCCGGGAGCCGCGCCCCGCGTCCAGGAGGGGCCTCCCCCCCTTCTTCCTGACGCGAGTTCTAGCTACACAGCTGTGTTTGCCATCGGCTACACGGCCCATTCTAAAAACAAGTTAATAAAAAGATACAGTTGAAATATACAAACTGGGTGTAAACACTTATATTTCCGTATAAAGTATTATTTTAGAACTCTCTCCTTAAGCGACTTTCTGCTCCTTTCGTGGTTCTACGGGGAACTAGACACAAGCAGTAGAAGCGCCGCAGGAAAGGCCTTCTGCAAACTGCTTCCCCCGGCTTCCGTCACCTGCGGACAGCCCATGGGGCAGGGTCACGGCCTCCGGTGCCGGTCACAGAAATGACAGCCTCCCTCTGCTCAAAGCCTGACTCTGAGCCAAACCACAGAAAGTCAAAATATGTGTTTTAAATTCTGGGAATGTGATTACGCTTCGTGCATGCTCATGCACCCACTGTGAGATGATGGGACATACATACTGACTCTGCCCCAGGTCCTCACATGGCACTCCTGAAACCTGGTAGCCTCCTGGGCGACAGGAGCACCTTCCGTTCGAATGAGGGGACTCTGGGGGGCACTCGTTCCCTTGAGAAGAAGGGCTGAAAATGGGGTGAATGACTGATCATGCTATGTGAGAAAATCTCCAGGGAAGCCCCAGTAATGCAGGGGTCAGAGAGCTCCCAGGTGGGCGAACACATCCGCACAGGCAGGGTGAGGCACCCCAACTCCCTGGGGACAGGAGCGCCTGCACTCGGGACCCTCCCGACCTCACCCCGTATCTTTCTTCATCTGGCCATTCATCTGTGTCCGTCATCACACCCTTTGACACGCTGGTAGCTGGTAACGCAGGTCAGTGCTTCCCTGAGCCCTGGGAGCTGCTTGAGCGAATTAACCGAACCCGAGGCGGGTCACGGGAACCTCCCGTTTGCAGTCAAGTCAGACACAAGTTACGGGAACCTGGGCACCTGCTACCTGCCACTGGCGCCTGAAGCGGGGGCACCCCTGTGGACTGAGCCCCTAAGCTGTGGGATCTGAGGCTGTCTCCAGGTGGACGGTGTCAGAACGGAGTCAAATAGGACAGCCAGCTGGTGTCACTGAACTGCGTGGTGGGGGAAGAAACCCCACACCTCTGGTGACCGGAAGTGCTGTGACGTGGGCAGTCGTGGGACAGCGAGGAGGCACAGAGGAGGCTTTTCTTACACAGGTAACTCACTCCTACTACCGGCTATAAAAATGCTTGTATCAATGCTGTTTTCTGAAGGGTACAGTGTCTCTGCGTCCATGTTAGTATCCAGAACTAAACAAATAACTTGTTTGAGCATCCGTATCCGCTGACCGCAGATTACGTGGCAGCGTACAAGTCAAGGGCCCATTTCTAAATGCCAATTACTTCATTTCTGTGCTTAACAAGGTCAAACCAGATAATCAGTTTGTGTCCCATGAACTTCCATTAAGAAGAAAAGCCACAGGAGTTTTCCATAAGAGAGGGAGGGAGGCGGGAGGGCTGCTGCAAATATGGGCAGAGGTTTGCTCTTCACACTGTGGCTCTGAACACTGTCACCTACAATGACTTCCCTGTGGGACGGAATAGCTGTACCAACTCTAAGGGGGAAGTATCAATCTTGTTGCAAGGTATTAAAAATGGCAACATGGTTTGGCTCAGCCTTTAGAGCATCAGCCCGCAGACCAAAGAGCCTCGGGTTCAATTCCAGTCGAGGGCACGTACCTCGGTTGTGGTTTGGTCCCCGGCCCTGGTCAGGGTCGTGTGGGAGGCAACCAATCAATGTTTTTCTCACATCGATGTTTCTCTCTCTCTCTCTCTCTCTCTCTCCCCTTCTTTCCCTCTCTCTTTCTCCCTCTCTCCTTCCCTCCCTCCCACTCTATCTGAAGATAAATGGAAAAACATCCTTGGGTAAGGATTTAAAAAAATAAAATAAAATAAAAATGGCAGCATGGACCTACCTTTTCCAGTACTTAAGATCGAGTTTTGGGTTTTTTATAAGATTGTTTATTAGAGAGGACGGGAGAAGGATGGAAAGAAACATCCATATGAGCATGGAACATGGATTGGCTGCCTCCTACACATCCCCTACCAGGAATTGAGCCCAAAACCTGGGGATGTGCCCTGACCAGGAATCGAACTAGCAACCTTTCGGAGCAAGGGATGACGCCCACCCAACACCGGCCAGGGCTGAGACAGAGTTTTGAAGAACAGGATTCTACTAACATGACTATCAAGTGTCTCACAATACTTTAGCCAGAGTGTAAAAATCAGAAAGGTAGCAAAATTAGGCAAGAAAATATAATTTTCCTCTTTATAATTCACTGGAATTTGCATAAATGAATTTTTTAAAAACCAATTTACAGGGGCAGTTTGAAAAATGTACCTAGGTTTTTGGAATACCATTTAAGCTAAATAACAACAACAAACATTTTGTACTTTGTAGCTGAATGCTATTTAACATGATTTTGAATGATACCTCCATAAAGAAAGCAACCATGTAACTTGGGAGTTATATCGTCAAAGACCTAGACAAGAATAAAAGGAGTATTAGTCACAGCTCAAACAGAAAAAGAACCATGAAGTGTTGGTCAATAGAGGACGCATGAAACTAAGAACACTTTTTAGAAGGCATTATTTTCTTTTTCTTGACGGCTTTCCAATGACAATTGCCTCCCACCCACCACCCACCCCACGATTCTGAGGACATACACTGGTCTCACTGGTATATTTCAAAACAGAAGTTTCGTGTACAAGGCAGCTCAGTGGTTTCGGCACCATCCCGCCACCCCTAGAAGGAATAGCTCAAATCCCAACAGCATAGACAACTCTCTTCATCTGGACACAGAACCGTTTATTTCGTACTTGGTAGAACCAGCAAAATAACAGCGACAAGCTGATGTCTCCTGTGTCCTCCAATGTGAAAAGAAAGCACTGCTTTTATCTGCCTTTGACAGATGGAAACTCAAGTGCAGGGAGGCTGGCCCCTGCCCAGGTCACCTGTCTGCTGCACCTGTCTGGGTCCCCTGCCCAGGTCACCTTTCTGCTGCACTTGTCTGAGTCCCCTGCCCAGGGCCACTGCCCAGGTCATCTGTCTGCTGCACCTGTCTGGGTCCCCTGTTCAGAGCCACTGCCCAGGTCACCTGTCTGCTGCACCTGTCTGGGTCCCCTGCCCAGGTCACCTGTCTGCTGCACCTGTCTGGGTCCCCTGCCCAGGTCACCTGTCTGCTGCACCTGTCTGGGTCCCCTGCCCAGGGCCCCTGCCCAGGTCACCTGTCTGCTGCACCTGTGTGGGTCCCCTGTTCAGAGCCACTGCCTAGGTTACCTGTCTGCTGCACCTGTCTGGGTCCCCTGCCCAGGTCATCTGTCTACTGCATTTATCTGGTCCCCAGGGCCACTGCCCAGGTCACCTGTCAGCTGCACCTGTCTGGATCCCCTGCCCAGGTCACCTGTCTGCTGCACCTGTCTGGGTCTCCTGCCCAGGGCCACTGCCCAGGTCACCTGTCTGCTGCACCTGTGTGGGTCCTCTGTTCAGAGCCACTGCCCAGGTTACCTGTCTGCTGCACCTGTCTGGGTCCCCTGCCCAGGTCACCTGTCTGCTGCACTTATCTGGGTCCCCTGCCCAGGGCTACTGCCCAGGTCACCTGTCTGCTGCAATTATCTGGGTCCCCTGCCCAGGGCTACTGCCCAGGTCACCTGTCTGCTGCACCTGTCTGGGTCCCCTGCCCAGGTTGCCTGTCTGCTGCACCTGGATGGGTCCCCTGTTCAGAGCCACTGCCCAGGTCACCTGTCTGCTGCACCTGTATGGGTCCCCTGTTCAGAGCCACTGCCCAGGTCACCTGTCTGCTGCACCCGTCTGGGTCCCCTGTCCAGGGCCCCTGCCCAGGTCATCTGTCTGCTGCACCTGTCTGGGTCCCCTGCCCAGGGCCACTGCCCAGGTCACCTGTCTGCTGCAATTATCTGGGTCCCCTGCCCAGGTCACCTGTCTGCTGCACCTGTGTGGGTCCCCTGCCCAGGTCACCTGTCTACTGCACTTATCTGGGTCCCCTGTCCAGGGCTACTGCCCAGGTCACCTGTCTGCTGCACCTGTATGGGTCCCCTGTTCAGAGCCACTGCCCAGGTCACCTGTCTGCTGCACCTGTCTGGGTCCCCTGCCCAGGGCCACTGCCCAGGTCACCTGTCTGCTGCACCTGTGTGGGTCCTCTGTTCAGAGCCACTGCCCAGGTCACCTGTCTGCTGCACCTGTCTGGGTCCCCTGCCCAGGGCCACTTCCCAGGTCACCTGTCTGCTGCACTTATCTGGGTCCCCTGCCCAGGGCTACTGCCCAGGTCACCTGTCTGCTGCACCTGTGTGGGTCCCCTGCCCAGGTCACCTGTCTGCTGCACCTGCCCAGGTACCCCATCTGTGGCACCAGATCCCTGCCCAGGTCACGTGTCCGGGTCCCCTGCCCGCGCCCCGCCCCTGCGGACCCGCAAGCTGCCTCCACCCGGGCTCCGCGGCCGCCTCCACTCCCCTATTTGGGGTCCGCGCGGAGGGCCCGACCTCGGCCGCTCACCAGGTACTTGCCGTCCGGCGAGAACTTGCAGAGCTGGTTGGAGAGCTTGAACACCTCGGAGAAGTTCATAGTACCTCCGCCCGACGCGCCGGGCCGCGCCGCAGAGCCCTAAGAGCCCGCCTTAACCGCCAGCCCGCGCTCCAAAGTGACGGAAGCGGAAGCGCGCCACAGCCTATCAGGGCCCGGGCACCCGCGTGGCATTGTGGGGCTTGTAGTTCCCTGTCGGGGCACCGCCCGGCTTCTTGAGACCCGGGATTCCCGCGGTGCCTCGCTCCAGCCAGGGTTTCCTAGTAAAATGCAGGTCGGCGCGCTTACATTTGAATTCCAGATACACAACGACTGATTTTTAGTATAAGTATGTTCCCAAATACTGCATGGGACATACTTATGCTAAAAAATTAGCCGCTTATCATAAATTCAAGTTTAACCGGGCGTCCTATGTGCTGTGTATTTATATTTATGTATTTATACTTATACATAAATACCTTTATGCGTAAATATACTTACATGCAAACCTGTATTTGTGTGTAAATATAATAGTGTATGTAGATATATTTTGTACATGGTGTATAAGCTTTCTTTCTCTCTCTCTCTCTTTCTTTCTTTGCTAAATTCGGCTACCCGCCTGCAGCGAGTGCCCCCACGCTCCGGTGCTACTCCGATCCCGGGTGAACGAATTTGACGCTTACTCCGCAGAGAGAGCGCGTGGACGCGCCTCTGTGCTGGGACCGCGCCCACCCTCCGCACGACGGGGCGAGCTTTGCGGACACTGCTACCCACCCATGAGCGCGCGCTCCCGGTCCCCTCGCCCACTCGGGACGCCTAGTCCCCTTCTCCACCCTAGTCCCACTCCCCCGCCCAGTGCGCCCCCGCCAGGCCCCACCCGCGCCCCCGCAGCCCCCCAGATCACTTGCATCCCGACCCCGCGCCGGACCTTGCATTCTGAGAACCTAGACCCGCCTGGGTCCTCCTGGTACCGCGCACCCAGCCCCGGGGATGCTCCCTGCGGACGCCCCCCACCCCCCAACTTCCCGGAACGAAGGGGTAGGGGTTGCGTGCACGCGCCCTGCGCCGCGGTGCCGGCCTTTTCTGTCCCGGGCCGTGTCAAACCCTGTGGGTACTCCCTCTCTGTGCCCCCACCGCCTCGCGACCAGTAGGTGTGTGGAAGTTAGCCGGGAAGTTAGCCGTGGGGCCAGACTGCCCGGTCTGCAAGCCCGGCTCGCGCGCAGTCCCACGGGCGACACTGACGCGAGGGTCACCCTAGCCTAGGGGCATCAGTTCAGAGGCAGATAAGGGGTCGCAAGAGCATCCGAAAGCGGCGCTTGGCAGGTACCCGCCGCCGGAGGCCGCTCGGAACTCGCCTTACTTGAAGCTGCAGGCGTCGCGGGTCCGAGGAAGACCTTGGCCCGAGGCAGTTTCTGGGAGCAGAGAGTAATTCCGGGTGCGCAACACACGTGTTGCCGTGGACACCCGCGCGCACCTACGCAAACACAACAGAATCCGGCGCCCCCGGCCAGCAGGCGGTGTTCAGGGGAGAGAGCAGGGTCCCAAGTTACTCCTTAGGTGCGCCCAGGCAGAGCGCGGACTGAGACGAGAGTCCAGCCCAGAGGGTCCCGGCGGATCCGCAATGCCGCGCGGGGCCGAAGCGCGGTCGTGACCCGGGCTCGGTGAGCGGCGGTGTAAGTGACGCGCCCTCCTCCGCGGAGGAGCCTGGCTGGAGCAAATCAGATGGAAACGGCTCCACCCAACCCCTGCTTTGAGGCCTGGACCCTCACCCATGTACCCAGAAGGCCACAGCCAGTGTGGACGCTCCACGGATCGGGGTGGGGGGTGGCGCCCCCCCAACCATACGTGGTGCTTCCCCTGCCCGTGGATTTCAAGCGCCCCGCGTGCGGAGGAGCCCAGCGCTGGTGGGGGTGGACAGGAGAGAGCAGGGTGTCGGGAAGATGCGGCGTCTAGGGAAAAAGAAGGCGTCGGCACGCGGAGTCTGCATCTCGGCCCCCCTCCCCGGCTCTCGCGCGCTTGCCCGCGCCCCCAAGCCGGCGAAGTGTCTCTCCAGCAGGAGGACCCCGCGCCCGACCCTCGTCCAGAGGCCCGGTGTCCGGGACTCTGCAGGGGTGACACGCGCCAAAAGGCGGCGGGAAGGAGGCGGGGCGGAGCAAACCCCGGGTCCCCGACTCCGACGCGGCCAGCTGGGGGGGCGGAGCGCCGGGCGGCAACCTTGGCCCCGGCCTGGTCCCGCCGCCCCGCGCTTCTCCCGCCCCGCCGGCCGCCGAAGGCGCTAACGCCCGCGGCAGCCCCCTCCCCGCGCGCCTCCATATAACCCTCCTCGACGGGTCCGTCGCCCGCCCTGCTCCCCGCCTCTCGGCCCGCTCCCGCTGGGCTCAGGAAGGAGTTCCTAGCGAAGCCCGGGCCAGCACCAGGCCGGCTCGGGTATCGATGACCGGGGCTCCGACGGCACCAGGTAGGCAGTGCAGTGACCCGGCGCCTGAGGGACCTGGGAGCGGTTCGGCTCCGCCTGCGGGGCTCGAAGCCCAGAACAGCAGGCGCCCCAGCCCTCGGCTCAGAAGCTGGGAGTTGGTGGCGGAGGCCTTGCGCGAACTAGGAGAGAGGGTGACATGGGGTCTCGCTCGGGATCTGACAGGCTCCTGGGACTTGTCTCAGGGGCAGGGAGCCGGCCGGAGTCCAGTCCGAGAAGAGAGGTGTGGTACTGTCCGCAGTGCGGGGGCCTCTTGGGGCCAGGAGCAGCTTTGCTGGGGTTCCCGGAGGGCCTTCCTCCTGCTAACCCCTCTCACCCCAGCTTCCAAGGTAAGGCTTGGAATGTGCTCCGGGGAGAGGCTGGGTCGGGGTGCAGGTGCCATGTACTTTGAGAGCAGCCCGTTGCTGACAAGCTCCTCCCCACTGGGTGCCCATTCACTCAGCATCCTTGCGCTCTGTGCAGAGGGAGGGACGTGGAGGCCTTAGCACCCACCCCGACGCTGGGGAGACCCAGGTGCTCTCCAGCCCAGGGGAACCGGGCCTGACCCAAGCTGAATCTAGGAATCTGTTACCAAGGAGCTAGGTTCCAGAGGGGCAAGTCCCAGTGACTCTAAGTTGGCCTCGGGTGCCAGCCAGTTTCTGGGTGTGTTCCAGGTGGAGAAAGGACAGGCCGCCTGGTGGGAGACAGGCAACCCCTCGTTCCTGTCTCCCTTTTCTCCCTGCACCCCTGGCCCCCACGGCCGCTGGTCCTTTTAGCTTTTAAACCAAGGGGAGCTATTATTACCTTCTTACTCAGGCTGTATTTTTGTCTAGTCCTGAGCTGAGATGCACAAAGTATGCACATGTCACATAAATAGATGGGTGACAGGTAGGCCATTGTCAACCAGCAAGGGGCCTGGAAAACAGTGCGGGATTGTCTTTGGACCAGAGGCCATTTGGTCCAAATGTGCTGTGGTCTGTTGGTTAAACACCTGGTATTTGCAGACCATCAGCAAATGGTTTGGTTGGGTTGGGTTTGCGGTCTGTTGGTGTTTATCTGTGTGGATTGGGCACGCGATCTTAAAAATAAAAGAAAAGTCGGGACGGGAGCCAGAAGTTGTAAGGGTGAGCCTGTCCGTGCGTCCGAGGGGCCTGCCAGAGGTGACTGGAAAGCAGGCGCCCTGGCCCGTGGCTCAGGGGCTGGAGCCTCATTGTCCCGTGCACCCCCGTCAGGACACATACCGGTGGCAGCCGATCCATGTTTCTCTCTCCCATCGATGTTTCTCTCTCTCTCTCTTTCTCCCTCTAAAATCAATAAAAACGTATGCTTGGGTGAAGATTAAAAAACAATTTTTTTTTAAAGAAAAGAAAGGAAGGCCTGGTGCAGGCGTTTGTGGAATGACCACGGATACTTAGCTCCATCTTGCAGTCCCCCGGGAAGCCACTGGGGACCGGGGTGGCTGTCTCCAAACTCTGACGGGCGGCCCCGTGGAAAAGCAACGGTTGACGGGTAGCAGTCGAAGTCAGAATGTGAGGGTTCAAATCCCCTCTCCTCTACTTACTAGGCACGGAGCTCAAGCAAGTCCCTGAGCCAGTCTGAGCCTCAGTTTACCCTTCTGTAAGGAAGGGTCGTAATAGTCCCTGACCCAGAGGGTTGGGAGAACAGTGAACAGATGTCATATCCACAGTGCTTAGCAAAGTGGGCCCCAGAGAGATGGCAGTTGGTCATAGGTGCTGCTGCAGCGCCAGGAGTGGCCCAGCCCTGGCGGGAGGGGCCGGGGAGGCACAGTTCCCTGGAAGCAAGCAGGTGTCCCCAGGGGCGAAGGAATGGCTGGCAGTCGGGCAGGAATCTGCCCGAGGCGTGGGTGGAGGCTGATGGGTCTGCCCGGGTTGCTGCAGGGAGGGTGCCTCCGTTTAGTATGTATGTATTTATAGAGCGTGCCCCACCCACATCCAAGAACGGATTTATAACATTGAACACATGCAAACGACACAGCTAAAATAGAGGTGGAAAGGAGAGGCCGAGGACTCTCCCGAACCTGGTGGCGGTCCGGCCAGCAGCTGAGGATGGCGTTCGCCAGAGATTCCCACACCCGAGGGAGTCTTTCCCCGGAGGGTACAAAGAGGTACAAGTTCCTCTGGATGGGAGGCAGCTTCCACTCACCAAATTCAAGAGGAATTCACCACCCAGAAACCTCTGTGGACGGCATGCCGTCCACGATGGACTCGGGTTTGCAGAACAACAGGAACATTGCGTGTTTCTGCTTACCAGTCCCCAGGAAAGGGGAGGGCGCACCTTTACTTTCCAACTGGGGCATTTCTGCAGGAGTGCCGAGTCAATAGCGTGAAGTGTGTCCTTTTCTGATTATTTCGCTTCATATGACAAAAAAGAAAGAAACTGAGATGAGGGGTCCGTAACTCCTAGCTCCCTTGTTACCCTGACGATGCTCCTATCTGGATGAGCCGGACCTCACCACCATGCCGGTTCTCTCGGACGGGAGCACACCTGCACCTGGCAGCATCCATTTGGGTGTCTCCAGAGCACAGGATGCCCTTTTTCAAAGTTTGCCTTCTTGAGTCGGTGACCTGGGGCACCTGGAAAGTCCTTCCCTCGCGTGTTCTGCAGA